AGGACTTTTTATTTGTCACTATTAAAAGTCTGAACTTTAAATAGATTCTTGGACTGGTGGTTCATATCCATCAGCTCATTCAACTTTGGCACCCGTCTCATCCCCAGTAGCTTTTCCAGAGCTACTACCTTCACCGTGGAGCTCCATGAGTTTTCCCAATTCAAACTTGGGTTCTTCAGCATTTTTACTTTCCTGACGGAGACAGCATGGAGAGGGTAGTTGGATTGGCAAGCCTTTTCTATGTCTTTTCCGATGCTGTCTGGAGTCAGTTTATTGACCACTTCTTCCTAGTCATTTATCTGCACCTCCTGGGTCATGATTTCCATCATCTTCTTCAGGATTTGGCAGGCATGCTGATACTAGGCGTAAGAGGTCTTCCATATGTGATTGTTGAGTTTTTTAGTAAACCCAACACAAGAGACGAAGCAAATAACCATCGGTAGTCTTGATATCGACATGAGCTTCAGTCATGGACTGCCATTTTTTGACCATGGAACACATTTTGTCACGGGTGAGATCCATGCCATGGAAGTTAGTCAGGCAGTTTTTGCCCTGAACATCCTCAGTAATTAGCTTGAATTTCCTAAATGCGACTTCGTCATTCTGCAGATCTGCAAGGCTCACTTCAAACAGCCCTTCAGGCCATCAGACGCAATTTTGGTTCCTTGAGTCCTGGTAACTAGTGTTTTCCCAATATTTCTTATGTTGAACATAGCAGGTGCTTTCACGTCATACCAATCTTTTTTAGAAAATGGATCAACCACTTTCTTGGCTCCCTTTTTGCTGCCTTTCTTAGGACACTTATTCTCACCAACTGTCATGGTGCTACTAAGAGAGCCAAAGAGCAAGATAGTGATATTTTTATTCAGGTTTAGAGGTGGTCACTTAGGGCCAACTAGTGACATTGTGGTAAGGCAGCTGGATCCCACATGGCCAACTACACAGTTTGAGCTTCAGACCTGGAAGCCTGGAAAACATACCAGGTGTGAGTATGTGCTCAATATCCCAAAAGGAGGGAGAAATGGAGGGGATTGCAGTGCAGCCATCCCACAGTGGGGGATTATTTTATTTTACTTTATTTACTTATTTATTTTAATTTGACCAGAGAGGAACAGAGAGAGAGAGAGAAAGTGAGAAAGCAAGCTGCCAGGTCGGACCCAAACCAGGATCGGCCATGTGGGAGTCCAGCGCCCTTAAACCACCATGCCACCTGCCGTCCCCTTCCACAAACTTCTTAAAATGCCTTCATTTGATTTCATTTATATGAGATAACCTATTCACAGAGATGGTATCAACTAGACATTATCAGAATCTTGGGAAATTGTAGAAATAGAGGGTTATTGTTACATGGATACAGTTTGAGATGATGAAAAAGTTCTAGAAAGAGAGAGGTGACAGTTATATAACATAATGCACTATACATTTAAAATGGTCGAAATGGTAAAATATGTATATTGTATCATAACTTGATTGATTGAGGGATTTTTGCTATTGGGCACATGTTCTCACTGGAGAGACAGAAAGCAAGAAATCACTCCCTAGGGGGATAGCCACACCACAGTCCCTTCTCCATTCTCCTCTCAGGATTTTAGGCACGCAAGCACATGTAGGTGACAGTGTTTCAAACCACCAGGTCTAGGATTCTAACTCTGGTCACATGTGCGACTCCAGCACCTTAACCACAGTACCACCTGCTGACTCCTTATACCACGATTTTTTTTTTAATGGGGTAAAAGTCATTAGTTGTCTTTTTTCTAGCCTAGGGCAAAAATATACTTAGATACGTTCCAATATGCTAGACCAATCTCCTGGTCTTATTTTTCTTTTTATTTTCAGAGGTGGTGATTTCATGATGTTTCTTGGTTACTTATACTGTTCATGCCTTTGATGGTTTCTTTCGCATTTTCCTGAGTGTTAGTTGCTTAGCTGTTCATCATCACTCATTTTGTGTGTTGAAGGATGTGGATAAATTTTTGGGCCTGATGCTTTACCCTTGAATTTTTCCAAACTTGTCTTCCATACTCAATTGGAGTTATGGCAAGAACTCACAAGCTTAGAACTCACAGAATATTTCTTTCCGATATCTATTTTCAATCATTTAAAATGAACCTTTTTTTCTGTCTAAATATTTGATTAATTAAACAACTGAAACACTCTTAATTCTTTCTTTAAGTTTTCCTATAGAGTCATGGGTTCACCAGAGAGAGAGAGAAAGGGGGGAAAGTGAGAAATTCACCCCTTTCCTCCCCTAGGAGGATGGCCACACTGCAGTCCTTCTCCATTTTCTTCTCTGAACCTTGGGTACACACACACACACACACACACACACACACACACACCTACCACGACTGCAAGCTGCAGAATCCAAGACTTGAAGTGTGCAGTTAGTCATGTGGGATCCAGGCGCCTTAACATCCATGCCACCTGCTGGAATTTTTTTTTTTCTTTTTTTGAGATTTTTGCTATAAGGCACATGCGCTCACCAGAGAGACAGAAAGCAAGACATCACCCCCAGGGAGGATGGCCACGCCCTAGTCTCCTTTCCTCCGTTCTCCTCTTGGGACTTTGGGCACACACATACATGCGCCCAAAATGAATTTTAAGCCACCAGGTCCAAGACTCAAACCACAGTTGACTACATGGGTGTTCAATGGTGTAACCACTACCCCATCTACTGGTCTCCACCTGCTGGAATTCTTTTTTTTTTTTTAATTATTTATTTAACTTATTCATTCATTCATTCAGTTTTAACTTGACTAGAGAGATACAGAGAGAGAGAAGGTGAGAGAGCAAGCCACCAGATCCAGGACTCGAACCGTTGTCAGCCATGTGGGAGCACCCAGCACCTTAACCACCACACCACCTGCTGGTCCCTGGAATTCTTAATGGATTTTAGAATGTCATCATTTACAATGAGCTGGGTGTCAGCGTTTGTATGCTGCTTCCCTCCTTCCCCTGAATAAATTAATCTGTTGGAACATACTACAAAATTTTGTAGTTTAAAACAGCACATTATCTTCATCTGTGTCTCAGGAATTTGGGAGATTATGAGTATAGCTGGAAGTTTCTGGCTCAGTCTTTCATGCGGCTGCAGTTAATACATCAGCTGCGGCTGTAGTCATACGAAGGCTCGACAGGTGCTGGAGGTGCATTCACAGGGGACTCACAATATACCAGTTAGTGCTGGTTAACCGCCATAGGAATCTCCTGTAGGACTGTGAGTCTCTTCATGGCATAGGAGTTGACCTCCTCCAGAGCATGTGATCCAAGAGAACAAATAAGGAAGAAGCAAAATGCCTTTTTTGTAAAATGCCTCTTAAAGTGGAGTATTTCAAAGAATTTGTGAAGTATTAACCACTACATGCCCAACACATTATATCTTATGGGTCACAAGTCAGAGAAGTCTTGTTTGTGGGATGATTTTAATTTTGTACTCTTACACAGTGTTTGTATAAATGTGCCTATCTCTTTGCTAATGCAGTTCAGAATCAGTAATTCAACAGAAAAGTTCCTCTTATTTTCTGTTTATTTCTTTTCTGATAGTGCATACATGCACTAAAGAGGGAGGCGCCCTCCGCAAGCTCTCAATATGCCATGATCCCCCTCTCCCAGCCATCTGGTTCCTCAGGATTTCTGCTATAAGCTATAACCCAGCATGTTTTCAAGCTGGCCCAGGGATCTGACCCCTTAGTCAGCCATGCGGCTTCAAGCACTGTAGTTCAGGTCACTGTTGACTGCCATCAAGTCGGGCTGAAACTTGTTTCTTTTCATCACTATAATTTTTTTCCTTTCTTAAAAAAATTGAGCATTTCCTTTTTGCAACATAATCGTGTTTATGAACAGTTCATAGAAGCAGTGTTCAATTTCTTACTTAATTGATATTATTTCAATTCATGTGTATTCAGTGCTGGTTACTATTGGTAATACAAAATAAATGTGTTCCATTTCCTCAAACTCTTGATGAAACTACATGGGCTGTCATTAGAAACTGGCAAGTGTGGTAGGCTATGGTGGACATAGCTCATTTACTAGGAAAAAAGAAATCTTTGAGGGCTAAAGCATTGGAAAAGGCTCTTAGAATGGTGAACTTCAGTTGGGGCCAGGTAGTGGCTGGTAATTAAGATGACTGGATCTAACATGGCTGCCTGCATTGTTCAAGTCCTAGAACTAGTGCCTTTAAAACGTGCCAGGTGCTTGTGCATGTGTACCCAAAGACCCAAGAGGAAATGGAGGAGAAGGGATTGTAATGTAGACATCCCCCTGAAGGGTGCTTTCTCTTTCTCCCTCCCTCTGTGCAAGCAAGTGAATGTCATGCTCTATAACAAATTTTTAAAAAATAGAAGAATGGTGAGTGTCAGCATCTTATGACTTAAGGAGATACTGGAACAGTGGTTAGGTGACTTTTTAAGTCCCCAGTGTAAGAACCAATATCAGAAACCAGGTGTTTTTACTCTGTTCTTTGGCATTGCTTCATCTGTCACTGCCTTTTGGGTGGTAAACATAGCCTTTGTAGTTTTTGGTGGAATTATTTAACTTCATGTTGAAAACTACCCTGGATGTTTCATCTTTAGTTTCTTTTTATTTCAGGCAATGATGAAGTGAAACGTGGTGTCCTGCTGATGCTTTTTGGTGGTGTTCCAAAGACAACAGGGGAAGGGACCTCCCTTCGAGGGGACATAAATGTTTGCATTGTTGGTGACCCAAGTACAGCTAAGAGTCAATTTCTCAAGTAAGTGTTCTTCAGATAGTACAGCAGACAGCAAAATCAGAATGCAGAGTTTTAGGCTTTCTCTTCTTTCAAGAATGTAGTCAGTATGTTTTGTTGGTGTACTGTAATTTGCAAAATAATTTCCCTAGACTTTTTGGACAATTTAACAGTAGTTTATTATAATGATTACAGATAAGATAAAGTAAATGTTACAATGTATGTGTTTTTATTTATTTCTTTTTGTTCCCTTTGGGCAGTTACTTAGATAAAATATTGCTGAAACTATTAAAAAAACATCTTTAAGGTTCTGTTCTTCGTTGTCCTTGCCAGAGTGTATGGGATTGCTCAAGACGGAGCAGGAAGGAGAAAGCGCCTTCCAATGAGACATAGTCACTGCAGTCCCTTCTCCATCCTTTTGGGATTTGGAGTACACACATGTGCCTTTGTGTGTCTGGGGCTGGGATTTGAATTGCAGCTGGGCATGCAGGATCCAGCTACCTTAACCACAAGACTACAAGGCTGTCCATAAGATTCTTAAACCTTAAAAACATGCTTTCTAGGGCCACCAGGTGGAGTAGAGGTTAAGGCACTCCATGGCTGACTGCATACCCACCATGGGCTTGAAAACACTCTGGACACATGAGTATGTGTGCCCAAATTCCTGAGAGGAGACTGGAGGAGGAAGGGATTGTGGTGTGACTATCTCCTCTAGGAGGTGATTTCTCACTTCCTCCTCTGTCTCTCTGTCTTTGGTAAGCACACATGTCCTATAGCAAAAACTAAAAAAGAAAAACAGTTAACTACCCTTGGAGTTCTTATATGAGATAATAAATTCCCATTGTTCAAAAAAGGGAAGGGAAAAAAAAAACACTTTCTAGGGACCAGCAAATAGCGTAATGTATGTCACTAGACTCCCACATGGTTGACTGCGGTTCTTTTTCTTTTTCTTTTTTTTTTCTTTTCTTTTTTTTTTTTGAGAGGTTTCTGTTATAGGGCGGGTGCACTCGCCAGAGAGACGGAAAGCGAAAAATCATCCCCTGGGGGGATGGCCACGCCACAGTCCCTTCTCCTCTGTTCTCCTCTCGGGATCTTGGGCATGCACGCACATGCACCCGGTGTGAGTTTTAAGCCACCGGGTCCAGGACGCGAACCGTAGTCGACTACATGGGAGTCCACCAACATAGCCATTAAGCTAACTGCTGGTCCCATGCAGTTCTTTAAATTCAGGCAGGGCGCATGTGCCTGTATGCCCAAAATCCCAAAAGAAGAATGGAGGAGAATGGATTATGGCATGGCCATCTGCTCCCTAGGGTGAATTCTTGCTTTCTGTTACTCTCTCTCTCTGTCTCTGGCGAGGGCAGGCATCTTATAGGAAAAAAAAAAAAGGAAGTTTCTAAAAGAAGTGTTATATTTTATGCTAACCCTATTGGCATAAATTTAGCTATTTTTGCTCATTTTTAGAAGCTAATAATAAAATCAACAATTTTTAGAAATTATTAAAAAAATATGAGTTACTTTCAAACTTTTAAGAAACTTAGGGCTTGGGACTAACAGATGGCGTAGCAATACGTTGCTGGACTCCATGTGGCTGACCACAGTTTGAGTCCTGGACTGAGTGGCTTGAAACTCATGCAAGGCGTGTGTGCGTGGGTGCCTAAGATTCTGGGAGGAGAACAGAGGAGAAAGGAAAAGAAAAGGAACTTAGAGCTCAAAATACAAACAACTAGTTTTCGAGCACCTGTTATGGTTTTGGTGCTGTATATATATATATATGTGTGTGCAGTGCCTATCCTAGCAGCACCCAGATAGGAATGTGATATCCTTTTTTAAGGTAAGCGAATAAAATCTCTCACCAACAGTTATGCTCTCTGCTGGCCCCCATTTTGACCATTTTTAGGTATTTAGTTCAGAGGCATTAAGTATATTCACATTGTGCAGTTATACCACTGCCCTCCAGAAATTTTTAATTTTCCCAAACTGAAATTTTGAACCCATTGAACCATAACTCCTCTTCTCCCCTCTTATATCCCCTAGAAACTACCATCTGGGTGACTGACTCCTAGATACCTCACATACATGGAGTCAAACAGTATTCATCTCTTTGTGTCTAGCTTATTTCGCTTAGCATAACATCTTTGAGGTTTATCTGTGCCGTTGCATATGTGAGAATGGCCTTTTAAGGCTGAATAATCCTTATCATATGTATACACTACATTTTGTTTATCCATTAATCCAGTCCATCAATGGGCGTTTGGGTTGTTTCCACCTTTTGGCTGGTGTGAATAAAGCTACTATGAACTTTGGTGTGCCCACTACCTATTTGAGTCCCTACTTTAAATTCTTTTAGGTAGCTCTTAAAGTTGTGTGTGTTGTGAAGTATATGATATGTAACTTTTTAATTTTGCACATGGATATTCAGTTGTCCTAACAAACTATTCTTTTCCCCATTGTAGTCCATTATTTTATGTCTGAGGCCAGTGCCACACTCTTGATTACTAAAGCTTCATGTTAAGCTTGGTTTCGTGTGAATGTGCATGTGTGTGCATTTTGGTTTTAGTTTTGGTTTTGCTAGAGAACGTGAGCACTAGATGAAGGGAGAGAGAGGAAGCACTCCCCCCAGTGGGGCATGGTCATGCCTTTTCTCCATCCTGTTGGGATTATAGGCATGTTTTTCAAGCTCCCGGGGCCAGGGTTCAAACCACACAATCAGCCACATGAGATCCTGCTTCCTTAACTACCAGCCCATGGGGCCAACCCTGTATTAGTTTTGAAACTGGGAAGTGTGAGTTCTCCACTTCTGTTCTTGTTTCATGCTCTTTTAGCTATTCTGGATTTCTTGAGTTTTCACATAAATTTTTGGATCAACTTGTCAGCTTTCACAAAGAAGTCAGCTGGGATTTTCAATAAGATTGCATTGAATCTCTAGGTCAAGTTAGTTGTATTGGCATTTAGTATTGTAAGTCTTCCAGTTCACAAATATGTAATGTCTCCCAGTTTATGTGGATCATCTTTAAATTCTTTCAGCGATGTTTCCCAGTTTTCAGAGTGTAAGTTTGCATGTTTTAAAACTTACTCCTAAATGTTTTGTTCTTTTTCATCCTGATGTAAATGGAATTGTTCGTTTTATTTTCGAATTTATGCAAGTGTAGAGAAATTTTGGGGTTTTATTTTTAGAGGTTTTTGCTATAGGGTGCATATGCACACTGGAGAGAGACAGAGATGGTGAGAGGAAAAATAAGAAGTCACTTCCCAGGAGGTAGTCACACCGCAACCTTATTTCCCTGCATCTCCTCCCAGGATCTTGGGCACACACACACACATGCACCCGCTGTGATTTTCAAGCCACTGGGTCCAGGACTCAAATCATGGTCGGCCACGTGAGAGTCCAGGGATAAAACCACCATGCCACCTACTGGCCCCCTGATTTTTTTTTTTTTTTTTTTTTTTACATTTTATTTTGCACCCTTGATCAACTTACTCTAATAATGTCTGGTAAGCACTATTTAGTAAATGTCATAGGATTTTATATATAAGATCATGTATCTACAAGTAATGATAGTTCGAGTACTTTTCTTTTCCAAGATGGGTGCCTTTTTCCTTTCTTGACTGTCCTGGTCAGATCCTTCAGCATAGTATCAGGTAGAAGTGGCAAGAGTGTTTCTCATGATAGGACATAGGCCTTCAGCCCTTTCTCTTACTGTTAGTTGTACCTTTAGTTAGATGTCTTTAATCAGGTTAAAGAAAAACCCTTTGTCAGGTTGAGTAAAGCCTGTTCATTCCTAGTTTGTTGAGTTTTAATTTTATTTATTTTAGTTTTTGTTATAGGACTTGTGAGCTGATCTAAGAGAGAAATCACCCCTGGGGCGTAGGGGATGGCTACACCATAATCTCTTTTATTTTCTCGGGAATTTTGGGCAGGCATGCATATGTGCCGCACGTAATTTTTAAGCCACTGGGTCTGGGACTTGCACCACGTAAGGATCCAATGCCTTAACCACTACACCCACTGGTGGCCCTCCTATAGAATTTTTATTATGAAAGCGTGTTGAATTTTGTCAAATGTTTTTTTCTACGTCTTTTTGGGTAGTCATGGTTTTATCTTTTATTAGTAAGGCATATTGGTTCATTTTCAGATGTTAGGCCAATTTTGTACTTATAGAATGAATTCCACATCTAGTTTAATCTTTTTTTTTTCTGGGCCTTTTAATAGATTATCATTACAAAAATTGTTATTAAATGCCTCCTTTAAAATTTATGTTTCTGTCAAATACTAAGATCATCGGGACCAGCAGATGGCATAATGGTTATATCGCTGAACTCCCACATAGTTGACCGCAGTTCGAGTACTGGACCCTGGTGGCTTAAAACTCATGTTGGGACCAACAATTGGTATAATGGCTATGTTGCTGGACTTCCATGTAGTCGACCGCTGTTCAAGTCCCAGTCCTGGCAGCTTAAACTCAGGCTGGGCAAGTGTGCATTTGTGCACAAGATCCTAAGAGAAAAATGGAGAAGAGATTGCAGCATGGCCATCCCCTCTGAGGGGGTGATTAAAAGAAAAAAAAAAAACTCATGCTGGGCACATGCGCATGTATACATTTCCAAAATCCTTTTTTTTTTTTTTGAAAAGTTTTTGCTATAGGGCATGTGCAGTCTCCAGAGAGACAGAAAGCAAGAAGTCACCCTCCGGGGGAATGGCCACATCCCAATCCCTTCTCCTCCATTCTCCTCTTGGGATCTTGGGCACGCACGCACATGCACTCAGCATCAGTTTAAGCCACCGGGTCTGGGACTTGAACCACAGTTGACTATGTGGGAGTCCAGCAACATAGCCATTACGCCAACTGTTGGTCCTAATGTCCAAAATCCTGAGAGGACAATGGAGGAGAAGGAATTGCAGTGTGGCCATCCCCCCGAGGGGTGATTATTCGCTTTCTGTCTATGTCTCTTTGGCAAGCACTAATGTACCCTATAGCAAAAATCTCTCTAAAAAAAAAAAAGATCATCTTCCATTTGACAGGAATGGATTTAGATCCATTTAAAAACCGTAAGGCCAGCAGGTGGCATGGTGGATAAGGCAGCTGGATTCCACATAGCCAACTGTGTGGTTTGAATCCTAGACATGACAGCTTGAAAAACATGCCAGACAGCTATGCGCACATGCCCAAAATTCCGAGAAGATGTGGAAGAGAAAGGATTGTGGTACAGTTAACTCCCCCAATTCCCATTCCTCTTCGCAGGGATGCTTTCTCACTTTCTCTGGCTGTCACTCTCCTCAGCAAACACATGTGCCCAATAGCATTTGTTTTTTTTGGTTTTTTTGTTTTTTTTTTAAGAAAAATTTAAATTTAAACTTCATTGACATAGCCCCAGACAGCTGATATTCCTGCAAAGGATGCTTATAGTCGTGTATTAACGAGTCTTTATCTGATCATTTAACAGGCATGTGGAGGAGTTCAGCCCCAGAGCTGTCTACACCAGTGGCAAAGCATCCAGTGCTGCTGGCCTAACAGCAGCTGTTGTGAGAGATGAAGAATCTCATGAGTTTGTCATTGAGGCTGGAGCTCTGATGTTGGCTGATAACGTAAGGACATTTTACACTTCGGGATGTAAAGAAATCAGAATACCCTTACACTATCAGTAGAAGCAAGTTTGTATCAGAAAGATGTTCTTCTAAAGCAGTAAATAATTTCTAGTTTTATTAACCTAGGATGTAATTGGGATCATCATCATCAATCAGCATTTTCTGAGCTTTTCTAGAATGTGTTACCTGGCCTGTGCATGTGTGGTTGCTGTGATAAGTACTTGCTAGCATTTTGTTTCCTTTTCAGACCATGACAGCATCATGAACAGGCCTAGTCATAAGTTACATGGTGAACTTTATGTTAACCACTTCCATCCGTGAATGCATATAAGTCGCAGGTTTACCTGTTTATATTCATGATGGTCCGTCATCACCCTACCGTCTCCTGTAGTGACCCAGAATGGCTTGACCTTGAAGATTGCACCATGTTCCCACATTCTTTATAGTAAATGTTTATTTTAAGTTTTGCTCTTAGTCCTGAGTGAGTCGAGTGTGTATTTCTTTCTAGCTCTGCAATCTATTGAACTGTATTGTCTAATAGAGGAAATTGGGAATTCTTACTTATCCAGCTTCCACTTGTTTAGAGAATGGGAAAGTCTCTGTGATGGCGAACTTTGTCAGTTGACTTGTCCTTTTATATCTCAGAGGCAGCTTCTTAGGCTAGATTTGTTTGGTTACAGGGTGTGTGTTGTATTGATGAATTTGATAAGATGGACGTGCGGGATCAGGTTGCCATTCATGAAGCTATGGAACAGCAGACCATATCCATCACTAAAGCAGGAGTGAAGGTATGTGTGTCCACGGCTGACCACTGCATCAGGCCTTCTGATCAGTGTAACACAGAGAATTTCACCTTGATCAAATTCTCATTACTTCAGCAAGTAATGCTGTTTAATAAAAATACAACCTCTGAGAAGTATTTTTTCCAAATGGTAGGT